GATTCACAGCAATGCGATTCACTACAATGTGATTCACTACAAGCCATTGAACTAAATACAGAAAAATGGTTAAAGTGGTAAATTTTAGGCTACGTGTTTTTTACCATAATTAAAAAAAAAGTGCCAGCGATCTTCTGCACTCACCATTGCATCCATAAAAGGAAAGGCAGCAAGATACAGGAAAGCCCTTCTCGTTTTGTTCCCCACGGACTCATCCACGTGGTGTAGTTTATTGATGATGTAGTAGCCGAGGTCACTGTACGCTGCAGGAGGTCCAAAAACAGACATGGCGGTGTTCAGAAAAAGTCAGCCTTATAAGCCTTTTATCCCAAAAGACTAAAAACAATTTTAAATATAATATTTGGGTGTTGTTTGGTAGAAAAATTAGAAAATTTAAACGAGCAAAAAGAAGAAAATCCTCTACAACCTCATTCATTTCTCTACCGAGAAGGGGTTAACACTCCGGGTTCTAGTTGCCCAGTTGTTTTATGGGTGCATGTGGTGGGGTATCCATGGGTGTTTTAACATAAAAATGGGGTCGGGCTGCATTTGCAGTCTTTTGTAAACCATGAACACCTTTCCAGAATATGCTTCTACATTTGAGTGGACACCCTGAGTTCCTCTTTGTAGGTTTCCTTAGTAGGGCTTAGTCGTCCCCTATTGTTGTACGTTTAGGTTGACCTCACAAGTCATTTGTTGAGTCCTCGCCCCCTGTACCTCAGAACGTGACCCTCCTCGGCAGCGGGGTCATTGAAGGTACAGGTAGTTAAGAAGGGGTCACACTGGGGTAGAGCGGTTTCCCAACCCAACGCGATGTCCTTCTAAAAGGGGAGACTTAGACCCGGAGACAGACGTGCTCACAGGGAAGCCCACGAGCACATGAAGGCAGGGGTTGTGGAGATGCCTCCCAAGCCAAGGGACCACCAGGAGCTGGAGACAGGCCTGGGGCAGGTCCCCCCCTCGGCCTCAGAAGGAGCCGACCCGGCCACCCCCTCCATCTTCCGG